CCCTTGAGTTGATATCAGCGTTTTATGCTGTTTGCACGAAAGATGTGACTTTTTAGACAAATCTCTGTCTTTCTTTTGTATTTCCACCTATTTTTTATTGCTTCATTAGACAAACACAACACAATGGAGGACATGGAAGCAACAGTATGCGCCTCTTCTCTGGATATTGGTGTTGGTTTGAGCGTAGCCATTAACACTGCTGATCATCACAGTTACAGAATCACATGTTCGCTGTTGCCATCTTTTAATAACAGCAGGGCTTTTGAGACAGCCACCTTCATGACTTGTCCGATGAGGTCACTTCATGACCAATCAATGCCCCATAGCCTGTGGGCATCACACTTTCACCTTGATTGATCTCACTTTGACACCAGGCCAAGTAGGTTCTAAGAATTTAACTGTTAGGAGGCACCAGACCATGACGGAAAAGGAAAAAAAACTAGGAAAGTATTGCAGAGCTGACAGGATACAAATGGAAGCCCCATTACATTTCAATTGGAGCTAAGGAACTTGTGTAAACGGTCAAAAATGGAGGTGGTAACACTGTAGTGGTTTAAATCATAGTGATGAATGACCTCTTGACTGTTATTCTATACAGTAAGAATTTTGAATGAAAATGTGGTATTTCACCGTTAAGGGTGTATCCTGCCTCTCGCACATTGACTACAGTACTGGGTTAGGCTCCAGTCCCCCCGTGAGCCCATTAGGGAACAAGCCGTTACGAAAATGGATGGATAGATGGATGGATGTGGTATTTTTTCCTTCAGTGAGAACAGGGCCACTAAGGCCACTAAAAACATGCATGTTGTTTGTTGCCATTTGCTTCCTCGAGAAGGCACTTTCAAAACTCACTCCAGCAGCCTTTCTCATCCCAGCTCTCTTGTGAATCCCCTCCTGGAATCTAGATACAATAACATTTGAATTATTCATCAAATTTCATCTGTGAGAAGCATCCACAACTCAATCAGCTGTCATAACGCTGCTCTAAAATAAATCTGTGGGCTTAGCTAATCAGATTTATTCTTGTTGGAAACTATTTATTTTGGTAGGATGCACCTGAACAAGGCTTAGAAATGCCAACAGCCAAACCACATCCAAGTAGTTTGAAAAGAGACAAAACGCTTCTGTTATATTTTCAGTAAATAACTGGAGATTTATTGGAGATTTTTTTAGCCTTTTCGCATTTCCACTAATACATCCGATGTTCCACATTGTACTCCAAGCTGTGCTATGAGAAAAGTACAGTGAGAATCCTTCAGGAGCTGGGATATCTTTGTGTCCCAGAAAATATGCAAATTTTAAGGGACACAAACAAGTCCTCTTTGTAGAGCCTCTCTTTGAAGATCACTAAATTATCCCACATGGTATTTACTGAATATGTTTCTTAGGTAATCCAGAGGGGGTAGATAAATTAATTTGATGGAAACCGAACACTGTGAGAGTAGTCCAGGCTTTTTGGAAGATCAAAGGTTTAGTGTTACTCCATTGAGGTACTGAAGCTCTGTTTGTCTGCACATATCAAAGAAAAAAAGACAGGAGAATATAGTCTTTGTCACTCACTGAAGGTCTCATCTGAATCAGTGCTTGCAGTTATGTGGGAGAAGCACAAAACTGTTCAGCTTTATTTTGATGAAAGTGGAACAATGTGTACTTTGATATAAACTGATTTACAGCTTCGCAAAGGACACATCTTTTCCAGCCACCAAATAGTTTGGTAATCATGATAGGGTTCTCAAAGATAGAATTCGTCCTGAATATCCCAGCCATTTTCTTTGTCTTGTGTTCTATAAAGGTAGATGAAGTCAGGCATTCGAGAGGGGACGTTTTCCCCGAGCAACACTTCTTACTTATTAAGAGATCAATCAAAAATTCATTAGACAAGCATGCTGTTCACAAGAGAGTTGAACATGGTCATACATTTTCTCTCATGTAGCTATTTAACCATAAATCATTCTGTGTGTTTCACTTACTCTTCCCGAAAATCTTTAACAATTTAGAACTCCTTCCATTTACAGCAAAAAAAAGCCCTGTGAACAATATTAAGCATTCAAAGTAGCGCTTTCTGCTGAGGTGCTTCATCTGCTAATGCTCGCTGGGTTATTCTGTATGCACAGTTTGCATTTCAGGGTTTAAGAAAATCTTGGGGGGGGGGGGCTTTTTAGCTTGTATTTCTCTCTACTTTCTTAAAAACTTAAAGCTCTGTGGTCATATGAAAAAACATATTTTTAACAGGCCTTTAAAACTAATCAGCATGTCAGTGACAGACAGGAGATTTCTGCTATTTGTTCTTTCTGCATTATGCACAAGTAAATAATTGCTTGGGTTAACGATCAAAATGGTTTTGCATTGGTGTATGCCTCCTCTATCGGACAGTAATTTTGCTTTTATGTTTACATTTTTAGATTCTAAGCCAGACAGAGAGAAAGAAGGAAGAAAGATACAACCTTTTAAGAGCAGATTAGATTTTGAATGTTAAAATGGAAGTTGTATTTTTTTGGGCAAAAATAATAAAACAATAAACAAAAAGAACAGACTCAGAAGTAATAGCAGCTTTAATATAACATCTGTGGCAGACACAATCAGTGATGTTGGCCCATCAAGCAGCTCAGTTAAATCACCCAAAAATCCACTCTGCCTAAAGTTTAACGGGAAAATGAACACTCACACACTAAGCTAATACTGACATATTAAAACCTGTAGTAAGTGATGTTTTTGTTTATGACAGCCAGGCATCTCTGCATGCCGCTGCCGTCCTACCTGATGACATGCAGGTGCATTCCCACAATCCCTGATAACAGCAGGGGAGCACTGCCTGAAGCCCAGATGAAAGTATAATATGAGAAATCTGTTTGCCACTGCAAAACTCAGACGTTAACTGGGCAGGACTTGAACGGCATCCTATCCAACTGACTTACACAGCAGAAACGTGAACATTGGCGTGTTCCAGGGCTACAGAAGTGCAACTCTGTGATCGTGTTTTACATGAGTGAATCCTTCTACTTCCCTCAACACAAAATAGTGCAAGAACCCTCAGCCATGCACTTTCTGGTGGTTCCTCATTGCTGATGAGTTTGTGGTTCAGCTATTCCATTTTGTATGGAGATTGAAAACCATCTATACATAATTGATTTCTTGCCCTATTTACTCTTCCTTTTTGTTAGTATAAAAAGTCATTTTATTTCTCATAACTTCTGAAAGGAATTCCTTCTGAAGTAAAACAGCATACCTTTTTATATCAAGACGTTAACATATGTATACTCCTTGTCCCTCACAATCTATTGCTTAAAGCAAAAAAAATGTCAGGCTTTTTTGATAGTTACCTTTAAAATAATTCTTATTTCCCCTGCATTTTTTAGCTGAATGCATCTCACAGCAAAGCTGAAACAGCATTTTGAGCTGATGTATGTAGAGTGATTTGTGGAGAAAGTGATATAGCAAAGACAAAAAAATACTATTGAGATTCTGTTGAGAAGAACTTAAACACTCTTCTCTGCATGTTCCCTGGGGTCAGCCTGCGATCACAACACACAGATGACAGCAGGAATAAATTATGGCCTTAAGGATTATGGATTTAAGGAAATCTTTTAACATCTGTTTACATCAACGGGAGATTTTCTGCTCAATAAAACAAGTCCTTTTTTAAAGTTTTCACCTGCACTAAAAGAGATTTAAACTCTGACATATTCATTATCTGTTTCTAAACTAAATTTTCGCAATTATGTGAATATCTGAAGTGGTGTGCATTTACAGTAAGAGAGCACATCCACTGACTAGCGAGGGTGGAACATGCCCTCTCTACCATGTTCAAGAGCTTAATTTGCACTCCATCAGTGAAAGAAAACTCACTTTGCATTTTTCAAGTTATATAAGCACCCAAACATAGATTTATTCATAGCACCTGCATACCTGTAAATGAATGTATCTATGTCCAGAAGTGAATATACAAAACAACTGAATCCTCACACCCCTGATGAGCTCTCTGATGATCTCTTCACATGATCATACAACCCATGAAGCTAATGGTGGCAAAGAGAAGTGGCAGTTTTTTTTGCTCATTGACTATGCATGAGCATCTGGTCAATGTGGATGTGTTATCTGATCACTGTTCTCCCCCTGTGAGAGTCCTGATGTGTTTCCCTGGGCAGAAACATAAACATGCAGGCTTGCAGAACACACAGTCACACTATATACACACACATCTGCCTCTATGGGGGCATTTCGATTAAACTGTAGACCAAAGTGATGGTGATCAGAATCTGTAAAACGGGATTGTTGTGAAGTTAATTGTCTCAAGTGTATGAAAGAAAACCATATATATATGTATATAGCATATAGCATTTTGTGTGTGTTTATGTAAGTATAAAGTTATTTTTTTCTTATTTTGTCTCACAGGTCTTATTTTTATGTTTTTATGACCTTTATAATGTTAAGAAACATTTGTAGTTCAACTAAAACACTTATTTCCACTGTTCATATCCGATAGCCTCTAGTATCAGATATATCCAGGCCCCACATGAATAAAAACATGATCTTCTTTACAGAAAATGAATCATGACACATTATTTTGGCTTTGTGAATAATAGTCAATGATTGACTTCCCCCTCTTCATTTATCTGTGTCTTATGCTATGCAGAGGTCATTTTGTGTTGTCAACCAGTAAAATGATTACATTTATTTTCTGCTTTACTCAGCAGTTTGACTAATTATACCTGGTCTCGCAGTATAATGTCTGGAAAAAAGCATTCATCTGGGTACGCTGTCAAAGCAGAGAACACCAGTAAACATGACTTATTTGGCCTCAACGACAAAAAAATGATCTGACGCTGCAGCTAGAGGAGAAGGTCAAGGAAGCCAGTTAACCTTCCATCCTTTGGTCATTTGCCACCAGATATGATTCTATTACTTTGAACTCTTGCCCTCTGAGAATATCCTTCAAAAACAACTCTCATGTGTAAGGTTTTAATATTTGATGAGTGCTGGTTTAACCACCGGGGCAGGTGACCAATGCGTTGCTGATGCATTCTGCAGGCAGTTCTAATTTTGTGTGTGTGCAGCAAATACACAACTGCATTTATTCTGAGACTGTGATGCATCGTTCCCAATGTGGAAAAAAAAAACTGTGCCCATAAACTTATGCTTTCAAAAGATTTATTGTTAAGCAGTTGGTGCATTAAGGTTGTCTTTGCTTCTTTATATTTGGCAATAACACACATATCCCCTGATGTCAGCATCCCTGCATTACCAAACATTTGTTTTTCAATTAATAATTCAGTTACGAGGAAAGAGAGTCTCTTGTCCAAAAGTGATATGTGATTGCATTTGGTCCCCCATGCGTAACGGGGTTCTGCACCAAGAGGACTGAATTGTACGGTAAATAACCAAAATGAGCATGTAAATAAACACTTTTTTAGTACAAGTGATACATAACTGTATGTGTATAAACATGACTTTGTGAGGAAAGGAATTATATATATTTTTTTTATTTGTACACAGGTTCAGGTTGATTGATCATATGCTAAACCTTATTCCCCCTCCTTTTTTTCTTCCAACATCACTTCACTTTTACATCCCTGATTGCTTTCAGCAACATGTCTGAACAGAACAATGTTTGTAGGAATAATGAGTTTACCGAAAAAAAAAATCAAAAACATTTTAACTTTGTTTTCTTTTCAAAACTATATGTCCTCATCCTGAAATTATTCAAACTGATCAATGGAAAACAAGAACATTTCCCAAGGATTTGGAACCATGAAACTTTGGTTTAAGCTCTGCAGCTTGAGTCCATTTCAACACAACTGCCAGCATGCACTACCTAATTTAGTATTTTTGTATCTTAATAAAGAAACAGCTAACAGGAAAATATTTTAGAGCATAAAGTGTAGTAATCCCTCTAAATCAAACAGAAGATTCCAAATTTGGACTTGTGAGCTAACAGTGTTTTATGAGGCCCGTGTCCGCCCATTGTGCAAAGTTATCTGATTCACCCAACAATTTAACTATCAATCACTGCAGAGAAGGCCTGTTTTCCCTAAACAATGTACTGACCAATTCACGGTGTAGCATCCATTCAGTTTATCCAACGCTATTATGCTCAATCAGAGCTTCTGCAGTCTGCAGTGACGATTGTATGAGAATTGCCCCGTTAAAGTCTTTCCAGTCTCACAGAGGTAGACAAAACATTTGAAACGCCAAAATTAATGCTTATATTTTGCTCATCCTAGTCTGACTTAATGCACTCTTAACATGCCAGTCATAATGCAAGTCATGTGCATTTTGTTTATGCCATGTCTGTGTACTGTATTTGCTGCTTGGAGAGGATAGCATGCCCTGTACATTCACCCTAACCCTAGACAGTTTTCCTGTTATTCAAATTGTGTGCGGTGATTTACAAAAAGCTTAACACTGTTAGAAATGACATGCAAAATGTGCCACAAAACACATGCTATTTTCATACAAATTCATGAGAAGCCAGATAAATATGCTACACACATGATTTTGTCACCTGATTGACTGATATTTACAGATAGTTTTAAACCACTGGAAAAAACTGAAAAAGAGTCTAACCTGCTGTACACATTATACTATGCTGAAAGACTGAACCTAATATTTCATGTAAAAATTCATGGCATCATTGAAGGATGACGGCTGGTGATGCTGTCCTTGGTTTAAGCCTCTGTAGTGTTGGGCTCCCACTGTGGGTATGAGGTTATCAGCCGGATCTGCTGTCCACTGGAATGTACTTAGTTCAATACCAAATTACACTGTTTACAAATCTATCATGGAGCCACAGCCTGTGGAGCTCTGTTATCTTCGCAAAGCATTGTTAAAACAATCACTGTTTGGGGGGAAAGGTTTAACAAATGGCCAACACAGCTCATTTATAATTGTCACTTTGGCTTTTTTTCCAATGCAATACAAAATTTTGGTGGATAAGGACAATAACGTTTTATAAATCTCTTTGAGCTGAAATGAAGGAAACAAGCACACGGATACAAGTGTTGGACAGCAGCGGGGGGCACAGATGGTGATCTATCAAAACTGACTCACAGTTTGAGCGGATGGATGGCTTAATAATGTTGTCCCGCTATTTGTGGCGATAGACAACTAGCAGAGTGCTTGTAAGTAAATATAAAAAGCCGAGCAAAAAAAATAGAGAAGGGAAAGAAAAACATTATGTATCACAGTAGTTTGTATTCATTTGCAATGCCCATCAAACCTGTTTGAGTTTTTGGGGGGTTTTAATTCCTAAAGGTAGAGTTCAACGATCGGCGTTCATCCTGCGCAGTTTGGCGGGCAGGTTGTCCTCTGGCCGACTTCCAATCAAAGGGATCTGGACCGGGGCAGGGGTCAGGGTAGGGATGGTGCTGGTGGCTGCGGGCAGTCTGTGCTTCTCAAGATCGCCCTCCTCGGCATCTCCGTCCAAGGACAGCAGCTGGACCTGCTCCTCCGGTTGTCCTTGCCTCATGGCGGTGACAGAGCTGGATCTCAGCCTCTGGATGCTCAGCGGCAGGTCTCCTGTGCTGGAGGCCCTGTCCCCGGGTGTACCCGAGGCTGTCTTCAGCCCCCTCCACAGGAGCTCGTCCTTGGTGGAGCTCATGCGCTGGAGCTTGCTGGGAAGCCTACAGGCCTGGTCCTCGGCGTGGTCAGCGTTGTCTGCCGACAGAAGCCGTTCCCTCCGGCCTCCGCGGCCGCCGTTGCCCAGCAGGGGGGAGGAGGGGGTGGGGGCAGCGGGCAGAGGGTTGGGCGATGTAAGCGAGGACTTTTCTTCCTGCTCTTTGACACTGTAGGGAGGGGTGGGGACCTCAAAGGTGTTATGGAATTGAGAATAGTCAACTCTGAAGAAGCCATCCTCCAGCGACATAACAGGGAGAAAGCGGTGGCCCCACAGGACTTCATCCTCAGTATAGGAGGTCCTTGCCTGGCATGTCATACCTACAATGCAGGATATTAACATAGCTGAGCAATGTTTCATATGCAAACGAGAAAAAGGCAACAAGATTACTTGAGAAGTGAAAGTTAAATAACAATAGGAAGCCTGCGGGATGGAGAAGTGAGTGTGCTGGATTGTTTTCAGGGAAAAGGAGGAAAATCTAATTGGAAAGAATTCTGCCACGATGGATAAAAGCATGTGCTAATGAATAATTAATGCAGGTGAAATTAAACATTCTGTTGAATATTTCATACTATATAACCATGAAAAATGTTATCCTATGGGCTAATGGATGATGAAAGAATTGGTTAGAAGTTGCTGTGTCAAAATAAAGTCGCAGAAAAATGAAAATGTCCTCTCACCTGTGGTCTCCACGATGCCCTCCAGAATTACCACGATCTCAAATTGCTCGTTCCTAAGCGACCGCTGGGAGAGATCAAAGAATGGGCTCTTGGTGTTGATCTCATGGCAGATGGTTAAAGGTGAAACCAAGAATAGCTGGTCTGCCCCCGTGCCAAAACCTACATCCAACTCACACTGGTCCAGGGGCAAAAACTCTCCCTCAGGGGTCTGCCGAGACTGAAAAACCCAAATGGAGCAAGATTACTGGGTTACATCTGCATTTGTAACTGTCTTTTCAACAAAAAGGTTGCAAGTTAAGCATTTTCAAGTAATTTGCTATCCGTATGAAATTTCAAGTGTTTGAAGTTAAACTGATTAGATCTAAGAAATGTTTATTGTCCTGTGTGTTTGGACAATGTTTTCTTAATCCTATCTTTTAGAGCCACTCTCTCAAATGGTGAATTCAGGCTTGGTAGATTAGGTCCAATAGTTGGTCAAAACATTTCAATATCTGAATTGTACCAGACTAAACAGCAAGTGATCATCATGCTACACTCTCACATGGACAAAGTGATTACAAAGGAGGTGAGAGCCCCTGAAGGAAATACTTTTTTTTTTCATTCTAGACTCATAAAAGCCTCCACTCTCTTTCTTTTGCCATATTTAACAGAGCTCACGTGAGAGCTGTTTTATCATTCAAAACTAGCTGGAGTGGCAACTATTAATTAAAAGACACCCACTTTTAAGCACTATTATTCATCCCCACTTATCGAAAAAGACAATGATTAAATAGGGGGAAAAACTGTCCTTTGAACTCAGGTTCTTTTAAAGTGGAACTACAGGAGACTGATGGGTTTTTCAATATGAGAAAGATTGGTCACAAGTAATTGGTAGTCTTTTTTTAAACTCATTTAGTTACTAGAAATGAGTCAACAACAAAAGAAAGTTGACAGATAGATATTTTGTCAGATAGAATAAGCATTGCTTTTATCCATTATTTACTTCAAGAGGCACCTCATCTTACCTGAACATTAGACTTTATTGTGTACTTCATTGAGACTTTAATCACAACATCATTTAGTGACATGTAAGACAATTGCAAAAAATGTTGAACATGAAGCTTTTTGATAACCTCATCCCTTCACATCAGTAAGGAACACAAAGGAAAGGGTTTAATTTCAACGGGAAGACCTGTGATAAGAAACCTTTGTTGAATTCGAAACTCCTACATCAACCAGGTGAAAAACTTGAACATTGAATGATCTGTAAATATCTATTAGGCTTTCTTTTCTGCCAGTAGTTAAACGATTTTTTTCCCCTGGCACACGATGGTGACTTTAGATGTCTTCTTGGCTCTTGCTGAGGAGCCGCTTGGTCCACAGATGGCAGACAGGCTGTCATTTGTATTCACAGCGATGTTGAGGACAGAAGGGTGTGACATTTCACAGGAAGACTTCTGTGCCCACAGATCTCTGGCTCGCCATCAGGATTATGGGTGCTCCCATCACATGCTGACTGGGACACTATGTTACATACATGTCTTCTAAAGTTAAACCAATAACCTAGATGGTTTGGCTGTTGAAAGTCTTGCATGATAAGAGAGAACATATGTATGAAGAGGAGAATATCTGCAGAACACCACATCACTTACTGGCCGTTGATCTGTCAGTCGTAGGGTTATGTCATTTTAGGGAATGAAATGTTGTAATTAATTTCATTGTGTGTGGTCTCTTTCATGCCTTGACAGGGTGAGCAGCGGGGGGTATGAACACAGTGGGGTGTGAAAAAACAATGCATGCTCAGTTTTTGTTGCAGCATAATGCCATCTTTCTATTTATTGAGTCAGCCAATCCAGCACAGGAATAGTGTCTGTCAGATTTCCCCTGAAGACGTTGCTCTCTTTCCATTCAAAGATTAAGTTAATATACTTTTTAAAATATTTGGAGATTGTTTTGAATATTGCAACTGTATTTTTTTTTATGATTTTGGTATCAGCAAGATTCCCTCCACTGCAAAACAACCAAGTCCTCCGACTGAAACTGACATTTAGGCTGCTTTTTCCTTTGCTTTGACTCAAGGTACCGCCCTACAAGAAACATGAAAGAAATAAAATGTATCCTGATATTATTTCATCAGAGCACAACTTTTGTTTAAGAAGTTTGTATGGAGGGGTTGAACAGCCTCAACAATTCCAACCATCGAAATCTGTGTGACTCAAGCAACATTATCTTTTCAAGCAAAGTTTCTTATATGATTTTTTAATATTGTTTACCCAATTTTAGTGAGTAGTGAAATGGTTAATCAAATATTTCCAAAACTGTCAATTTATTTTTAACATGTGCACTGGAATAACAGTTTTCCACAGATTATTTATTTTTCCCTTTCAAACAACTTACTGCTATATCAAGAGCTTGACATTAAATGTCAAAAACAGGCTAAAAGAGATGGCAGTGGGATTGATTTCCCCATTTTCCTGTCAATCTTTTCTCTTCTTAAAATGCTTCCTCCACCCCTTGTGAATAGCACATCAAACATATTTCAAAAGCCTTTCATATTTTGTTATCAGTGTATTCATGTCCCCCATTAATTTGACACCAAACTATAAGTAAAGCATCACTTCCAGAGTACAGCCAGGTGCTTAATTTCCTAATTCTACCGTCCTTTTACCAAGTCTGGAAACTCATTTACTGGGATGGGTATGGGATCTAGATATAAAAGTGAAACTTATCATTTTAATATACGGTTTATAGCTCCACTGACTACTGTAGCACCATAGCGTTGCACCTTAACTCAACCTGTGACAACGCAGGACAAACATGCTCAACTTTGAATGGGTTTAACAAGGTGAAAGCTCCGTGTGCTCTCGGACTGCAGCTAAACAGTCAGTGCCACAGGGGGAAATTAATGGCCTTTGGAAGAGGTCCTGATATGGAGGGAGCACTTAATTTACCAAGCCACCTGAGAATCAGGTTGAGTGAAAGCAGACCCTGTCCCCAGTGACTCAGTTCTTCCTGTGTGTGAATGTGTGTCGAGACTGATGCAAAAAAAAACTGAGGGGGACAATTAAAAAGAAACACACTCTATACATTCGCCCTTGGGTCTGTCATGAAAAACCATTTGGTGTCTACGGGTCCACTTCGGCTTTGATCTGAACATCAAAATAGAGACGTCCCGTTTGAGTTGTCGTTCCTAATCTCTTCACAGCGACATTAAAGCCACCTCTGTTTCATTGTCCCTTCTTCTTCCCTTTCTCTTGCTTTTTTCTTCTTGTCCTTCAGAGTTGTGCAGTGGCAGATGTGAGTCATGGCGACATGTGTGCCTGCCTGCCCGTCTGACTGACTGCTGCTGCAAGCCCTTATAACCTATCTCCTGCTGTGGACCAACCTACTGAGACGAGCCTCTGTTGACACTGATGAGCACCACCCAGCTGTCACTCCTTCCTTTTGTAATGTAGTTTTGTCTCATTTTCCACATAGCTGTTGTTTACTGCTTTGTTCTCGTTCTTTGTGGGATATTTTTTTTCCCCCATCGCCCATCCTCTGCGAGCAAAGCAGCTGCGAGCAACATTTTTTTACCCATATTCCACCAGTGCTGCAAGGGTCAGCGCACCTCTGCATTCTACTGATTAATGACTGGATGTTGCAGTAATGTTGATGGAAATTCAAGGACATTTATATTTTAAAGTTCCTGCGCATTATGCGTCTAAAATGGCCATTCTTGCAGAGTGAAAGTGGTTCTGATGAATTACATTTTCTATGTGTAGGCGGAAAATGAAAAACCTTCACTAGAGAAACAAAATTCACTGAAATGACCGAACTTTTAGTTTTATTAATGATGTCTTCCCAATCGTTTAGTCAATACGTGCACCAGAATATTTCTTTATGTTATTAAGTGGATAAATAGCAGTAGACACCACAAAGCTATTGTATTCTTAACAGATGAAGGAGAGCATAGTGTCTGCTCCTGAATCAAGGTGGGCATACAGCAAGCAGCATATACGGTTCAGGAGCTCGCTCGCACTTTCAGCATTTTCTTTGTCGTTTATTTCCAACTTGGAAAAAACAACCCTGGGAGAGGTGATATGCTGATAAACATCACAACACATGCTGCTTAAGAGCCAAGTTATGTTTTTCATTTCAACCAGGGTGTCACGTACCTTTAAATATTTTAAAGCAAGGTCCAAAATTCCTTTCTACTGACATGCTTCAGCTCTTATATGGACTTTTTCTTCTTGGATGTAATGATCATCATTAAACATTTGCTAAATGTTTGCCTCTTGGCTGCGTACCTCAAACAAAAAGAGTGCACTTTCGTCCAGCGCTAAAAACTTTTTCAAATGGATTTCCACTGAAGTCTACTCAAAAACATTCATCCACGTACAGCTGTTTTTTTCTCTGTTCCTGTCTGTGCTCAGTCTGCACAATATAAGCAAATTCCTCTCTAAAACTGTTCTCCTTCACATATATTTTTCAGGTTCTGTTATTAGAGGATTTAAAATATGTTGCTGTAAATGCTGTGCAAAATTGCATTTGAAACTATCGCAAAGCTTGTGCTCCTCTAATTTCTCTTCACAAGCAAAACAGTTTTAAATTGAACTACTAAAAAGCTGAGACAGCAGAAATGTGAATCTCCACCAATTGGTTTGAAGCGAATCCACTATGGTGCTTCGTGTTATATTATGAGTCATCAAAACATGCTTATACTGTATCAGTTACTTAATTCTTACACACAACTTTCCTAAATTTAAAGAATATGGGTTTTATAAGAATTTACAACCCACGCTTACCCCTCACTATCCCATTATTTGATTGCTGCTGCCATGTCACAGAGCACTTGCAGAGCTCTGTCATTTGGATTTATGGCTGCATGCCTCATTTCTCCGGTCAGGTTTGTGAGCCAGCAATCTGACAGTGACCTTGAACAGTGTATTACATGAACACAGACCGCAGCATTGTTTCCTGAGGCGGCGGTGTAGTACTACAGGACCCTGTAGAGTCAGTCCATTCTACAAAAGGCCCCAGAAAGGTACAGTGATGTAGCTTTAGAACTCTGAAAAATCAGAGATACATTGTCTCAGATTGGTTTTTTAAATAAATTATACTAAGTGGTTTCTGTCATCATCACTCCTGTGTAAATAGTTTATGAGAGGTTCTAAGAAAATAAAAGAAACTTCAAAAGACAAATGGTGAAAATACATTTTGATCCTTCTGTATGTACTTAGTTTGTAAAAAACAAACTAACACATAAATAGTTGTAGTTTAAAATGGTAATTGAATTGTTGGGGGAAAAACATCAAACTTGGTGGGTAAAGACAAGACTGATTGGCTAAGAGCATATTTCATGTATACATAAGTGTTTATGTAGCACAGGTCATGAAACCTGAAAAAAGACCATAAATTGTCCCATCAATCTTCTTTAATTCTAAATCCACGGTGATTGAAGCATAAGTTATCACATTACCATGGCTTTTTAACCTTACCATAATTCATTATAGAGAACTATTCAAGTGTTAAATTATCTGTATCCAGATGCCCTCCATAAAGGCAGAATATCTGATGACACAGCAGTTTTTTCCTAATTAACTCTCTTTAATGCTTTGTTGACTAAGTGTAATCAAGAAATTGACTGTATTTTTCTCTTACTTACTAGTCTACAAATTAAAGAAGAAATTAAAATGATTTTTTAAAAAGAGCAACTCCAGAAACAGTATGTTAGTTAATTGTGAATTTTATTGTTCTTAGTGACTTTTATTTACCTTTTTAGAAACATTTTTAACATGCAATTATATGCCAGCATGAGAATAAAATCCTAAAGTCCTGAGGGTTCTTCTAATATGCTGACATGTCACCCTGAGGGCTCAGAAAGGTAACCTGTCCCTCAACTCCCATCACAAGAAAGGAATACTGCTTTTAGGTTTCTGCCAAGCTTTAAAGTTGAAAAATGCAGCAGTGTAATAACACAGGCCTCACACAGTCTACGGGGTGTAATGTACTGTGATTCATTTTTCAACATACATTTTGAGAAGAGTTGGGAAAACCTTTTCCCTGGTGGATGTATGAGATAAAGAAAATGCTGTTTTGCACAAAAGTTTCGAGTTTATTTTGCTTGCAAGGTTTTTTGACTTGTTTCCCCTCCTCCCTGTTATCACAGCCACCAGCAGCTGCCTCAAAGCTCTGCTTTCTACCTCTGGCTTTTTCCACCACTGACAGCACATCATAAAAAGCTTTATCCCTGCCTCCTCTTCCTGTTCCAGATTTGTAGCATTCTTATATTTAGAAAAGAATGGCTGCGGGAGTTACGATCACTGTGGCCCCGTAGAGATTGGTTCAATTGATCTTTTAATCAATCCCTATAGTTTGGCTGTCACATGCTCCCATTCGTCTTGTCTAAGGACAACGGAAGCTGAGGATATACGACCCTATGACAGCAGTTCTGCTGACTGAGGGGGGGCATTCGTGGTGACCCCGAACTGTAGCTTGAAACACACTCAGAAACTCTTCAATAAAGAGGACGAGGGAATAAAATGGGATGATGGATTCAGCTTTAAAGTAGATCTTCAGGGAGTACATGATGAGCCATTAAAACACATCTATGAAACAATGGACCCTCTGGGAATGCAGTGAATTCTCCTGGTGAAGAAAATGATGATTCTCGATGCTCTCACTGAACAAAATGAGTTATTTCTGACTTTTTTTCCCGGGACAATTAGTCTTAGCTCAGATGATATTGACTTTGGAATCTCAGTTTGGAGCTCAGGAGGAAGAGCCAGTGTTTTGTTTGCTTGTTTTTTTGGTTTTCTAACTGTAACCTACCTTGATGAGTTTGCACCTGATCTGCGCGGACACCATGTGGCTGTTCCGCAGGTTCCCCACTCGGAACATGAGGCACAACTTGCCGTCCCGCTGGGAGATGACCGCGTCCTGGCTGAACATGAGCGTCTCCGCGCGCTTCTTCGGCTGCGACATCTTGATGAACATGCAGCCGATGAGGAAGGCGTCCACGATGGAGCCCAGCAGAGACTGAAAGAGGAAGAGGATGATGCCCTCGGGGCACTTCTCTGTGATGTAGCGGTAGCCGTAGCCGATGGTCGCCTCGGTCTCGATAAAGAAGAGAAACGCAGAGGGAAAGTTGTACACATTGGCGACGCACGGAGTGTAGGACGCGTCGTGGCCGGCGTGGCTGAGGTCGCCACGGATGTACGCGATCACCCACCACATTGAAGCCATGACCAGCCACGCCACCGTGTAAGTGAGGATGAAAATGAGCAGGTTCCATCGCCACTTGAGGTCCACCAGCGTGGTGAAGAGGTCGGAGATGTACCTGCTGGTCTCCCCGCCAAGGTTACCGTGCTGGACGTTGCAGCGGCCGTTTTTCTCCACAAAGCGCTGCCTCTTTCTCTTCACCGGTGCGGAAAAAGTCATGCTCCGGTTGGTGTTAACCACCTGGTAGTCCTCACCAAATTTCCTCCGTATGGCTGACATTGTGCCAATCACCTACTTGAAACAAATTAGCAATACTTGTGCAGAATTGGGCTCTTGGCGTAAGTTTGTCCCCCCCCCCCTTCCTCCCCAAGCCATGCAACAATTCAGCGCAAGATCCACATCTTGCCAGATGGAGATGCGCCTCTCTCCAGTAAAATTAATCCTAAGTGTGGAGAGATTCTGCGCAATACATGCCACTGACTCGCTCCTTAACCCCGGAGAGAGCTCCGAGTGTAAACTTAAAGTTCTGGTCTCGTCCATAAAAGGAGCACTAACTAAAAAACAAAAAACAAAGGTGGTTTAGATAGTTCGAATCAAAACCAATGTCCTTCACAGATCCAATTCAGGATAGCTACACTATGGGTTGCAGTGCGCACTTTGTCCATAGGATCACGCTCTAATGACTTCAAATTTAAGTCTGTGGCACCGCAGCTCGCGTGAGTGCTTCTCAACCATGTCTCCAGGGAAATGGAGGCGCACAGGCGCAGAGTTTGGGGTAGAGAGTGTAAGATTAATGTATCCTGCCTCCTCCTAATCAGGTGAGAGCGTCCAAGACAAACAATGTAACGGCTTCATAAAGCACATCTTTTAACCGTCTCATTTATAAGATAGTGGGTGAAATGTTTTATAATCCAATTACCCATGAGGTTATCTCGAAGAAAGCAATGTACTTTACAACTGTACCGTCATACCCGCAGCCCAATGAACACCATACGCGGCTACTTAGTTCCCTCTAGTGTTCTTGTAGTAGATGTAAACCTCAGGAAAATACCAACTACACTTATAATATCACCAACAGGGAGATAGATATTTAATCAAATTGATTTAACTTTTCGGAATACACCTAGCCTATATTTTTATAGCCCAATTTCGTAAGGAGCAGTTATCGATTGTATGTTAATAAATAGCAGAACTCTGGTCCTACAGATTGTTCTTACACAGCGGAAATCAGCATCGTGTAAGTTTTTCCAAAGGACAATATATGCTGTATTGTTGTGGTGTATTAGGGAACCAGTACAACAGAGTTTGAAAAACTGATCATTTGGTTTGACAAATTAAAATGATTTAAGGTTAGAGAGAAGCCAGATATAAACAAATACATTTCAGCCACGAAATAAAGCGCTCAATAAAGTGTCTCTGAAAATTGGTTCCCAAAGTAGGAGTCAGGGCCAAGTGAAAAGTTTAGAGATGATCACCAGAAATCCACTTGGATTTAAAGCTGACCACAGTGAGCGGATTCCCCAGATACACACTGATGTCATGAATATATAAAAACTATCGCAAATGCAGCTATTTGTGTTCTCAGTGAATGAGTTGGGTTATTGTTGTAATCGGATGCTTCAACCAGCAAAGTCTAGGGTTACACGTCTCTGCCATTGTTATTTTGTGAGTCAGAACCTGAAAGATTGTGAACCGTGCTTTAAATGCCTGCTGCTGTTTGTTCATTTGGGGATAACAGATGTGTATGTGTATGAACAGAGGACAACCAGTGATGGAAATCATCATAAAACAGAAAATCATATTAAGCAAGTCAAAATACTGTAGAGCTGCATTTAATTGCTCTTGGGCTATTAAAGTTGTTCCTACATATACATGTTTTTTTATTCTAATAATGTTTTTAACCATTGCCTTTAATTTCCATTCAGCCCCTGTTTAGTTAAGAGGAAGAAGCTTTTGTCAAAATAAAAGTGAATTATATGGATAAGAAACACAATTACCATTATCTGTCTGAGAGTGTGTCATTTTTTTACAAGTCAAGTGTATTAGTTAACTACACGAATATATTATTAGCTGGTACCAATCAGGACACGTTCAAATTTCAAGAAGAGTGAAAACAGAAAAGTTCTCCCTGCAGAAATCAAAACAACCTGTCATACTCAACCCCAGTAGGCCTACCACAGTTTTGAAGAAAAACAGCCTGACATACAGAACTACAGAAATCTTTTCATGTCAGAATAATAAACTCTTCGTATGTGATGATTGGAAGAAAAGTGTCCAAATATTTCCTCTTTTCAATGGGATGGGACACTTTCATACAAACATGATCATATGTACTGTAAATATTCTCCAAACAAATATAATCCAAAGCATTCAGGAAGAAATGCATTTTTTAAAAGGAAAAATAATTTTACAAAAGTGTCTCCTTAATGCATAGATCTCTGAGTTCATTCCACATGCAGAGGTCTGGTGAGGAGCTCTCCACCTCTTAAGCCTTCGCCTGTCTCCTCTCACGACCCGTCCGCGACACCCACAATTCCTCGCGCTAGGACAAGATGGAAGAAAGCAGCGACCGCCGGAGAACAATGTTTTGGCAATAAAAACCCCAAGCGGCGAATACAGAAAGAATACAGGCACATTTGAAACCAACTGCGGTCATGCGTAGGTGAGTGGGAAGCTAAACAGTATCTTATTTGTAATGCGGGCTCAATCTTTATCGAGATCTGCAAGAGCAATTGTCTAGCTCGGCGCAAACGGGAGATGCACGGAGCCCCAGCATCATTGTTTCTGTTGCATGGGCCGTAATGCGGGTTTTCAGACGGGGCAGCTAGTTGCTAACTAGCTAGCTCGTGGCAGCTTGATTGTTATAAACACAGCTGCTCTAGAGCGTGTAGTTGCATCACGTTCGATTGATGGATTTCGCAGCCTATATAGGGTATGTTATACTTTGGATCTCAAACGTGCTGGCTGGCGTAATGTGACAATTACAGCTAAAGTTAGCTATCAATAAATAGAGCGCCAGCATAGCTCTCAGCCAGACAGATTTGATTTCACGGGCGTCATCAAAGCTGGGGAATTTGAGAATGAGCAATACGTGCTGCCGACCTGACTTCAAAGCAAACGCGCTTTTTGAAAATATTTTATCGAATGCTCTTACATTTGTGTTCAACTGTGACTTAACCTATGACTTTATGGTGTTTTGCTAGATTATACATACCTATATTATTTAAAAGCGTAATTAACCTTAAGTCTCTAGTCTTATTTTAGCGTTAGCTAGCTTGATAGCAACTCCAGGTACCATGCTAAAACGTTACATTGGAAAAATAATAATAATTTGAAGTTATTAACTAAGGTTCTATTGTTCTTATCCTCTCAAACTTTTGTGTGTTTTAGTATTTGATATTAAAGTCAAAATTAAGTTTTTGCATCGTCTCGATGTATTGTTTTGGTGGAGGACGTAAAGATGCTTTATGTCGCATTGTAGCTAGCTAACTATGCTAACTAGCTAGCTAACTATTATGCATCACAAAAGCTCATCCGCTTTCTCTTGACTGCGATGTCGCGTAGCCAAATGGTCAGCTGGTCTAGACTAAACAATAAATTCTCACGTCTTCATTCTTTGGAGTCTGTTCAGCTACACGTCCCACTTAGACGCCGGATTGCGCCTGCCTTAAAACGCCTTAAATGACTCACTTGAATTGACCTAAATATCGTTAGTTTTAGGCAAGTGTGTTGAACCGATTAATTTGTAATGCGTTGCAGCTAATGTTCTTAGCTTTAGCATTCACGCAGGGTTATTATATCAAAAGTGTTGTCCACTGTGCCTAGATTGTGAAAGCAATAGTTATACGTGTTTCAAGCACTTTAAAGTCGCCCACCCACTCACACACGCGTTTTATTTTGCTTCCCAATCACATAAGGGTGCTAAACACGGAACAATACGGGAGGTGATTAAACGCTCCAGACTTCTCAGTTTGTTTTGTTTTTCTCACACCTTCTTATTACGAGTTAAAGAGAATCATCACTTCTGCTTCCTCCTTCCGTTTGAAGGCAGAGCTTCAAAATTATTGTAAATATTCTACATGAAATTCACACTATAAAGATCATCTAATGTTTTGACATGTGTTCCGAAATGTCTATGTTCTTTTTTTAATCTTTTTTTTAATGTTTATTGCTTTCTGATCTGCAACCACTGTTTTGGTTGGGTTTTCTTCTATTATGTAATTTACTCATATTTTTAAATTCATTGACTATGTTCAATCAGTTTTCTTGCTTGTAACTGAATTTTTTGTGTATTTCCTATCTTTCAGGATAGTCTCCTCCTACGTTCATCATTAGATTAATAACCATCCTTATCCCCTGCACAGTGCGTAGCCACCACCATGAGTATTATCCAAGACAAGTTAGGTAATGAGTTTTTGCGCAATGGAGGCATGGACCCCAACTTTGCACCAGGTATGCTTATGTTCAGCCATTTGCCACCAGTCACCAGCTTCACACGACTGGCCTCCCAGTCTGTTATGGGCGAGCTTCCCCAAGAGATGATCCTTAAAAAAGAACGGGACTCGCCTCCAGAACATCAGGGCACCACTGCCGCAAACTCGGGGGGCTTCCTACACAGCATGGGCATTAAACAAGAGCGACTGAGTGAGGTGGATTACAGGATGCCCCTCTACAGCGGGGGTGGAGGAGTAGTAAACTGTGCTGGAGGCAGCGCAGGGAAGGGTGGTACTGACATGCAAGACATGTCTTTCGGCAACCACCACCAAAGTCACCAGAACATGCTCCTGCATGACCTCAGCCTCAGCAATGTGCGTTCCCTGGGAGAACCGGTGAGAATGAGCCTGAGTTCTAAACACTGTTTAACACATGTACATTATTTGAATGCGTTAGCCCACTGCTTAGTCACTGCACCCATTACCATAAACATGGGGCACTCTTTTTGTCGTCTTAGATGCCTGGAAGACCGGTCAAAGAGCCAAAAGAGTCCTCGGGTAGAAGAGGGCGGAGGAGCAACGGGGACGGGCAAGGGGGCAAAGCTCGAAGGAAACGGAATGATGCTGCAAAGGTCAGTCATTTTTCCCAGCTTCTTTCATCAAGTTAAAACAGAAATGTATCATCTCACCAAGAAACATCTTTTTTCCCCAATCCACAATATTGTTTCTAATACACTTGCATTTCCCCCTGTAGGCCATGATGTTGGATGCAGACGGAGCCTGCCTGTCCCCAAACTCAAAACCACATATCTGCGAGCACTGTAACGCTGCCTTTCGGAGCTCCTACCACTTGCGTAGACATGTGCTCATACACACAGGTGAGAGACATTCGCTGCTTTATTGAACCTTTTTTACTTTCTTTAACTTCTATTTAGAGTGTGTTTAACATTGGAAATTACTAAATGGCCTATCTTGAATGGATGAATGAATATTTTCTCAGAACGGACAGTTGAGTAGCATAAACTCCACAGTTCTGTGGGACAGACTTAACTTGCATTGTATACTCCGTTTTCAGGAAAACTGAATGTGTAACTGAGGATCAGACTGTATAGCATAACTTTAAGAGAGTAAAAAAACAGTAAAATACAGTTTGTAATCGTAACACTTCCGCATATCATAAGAGCCTCTGAGTGTATTTAAAACCAGACAAACACTAAGGTTGACTCTGGGATGACTCAGTGATTATTCATGCTTTTCTTTCACATCTTAGTCACCGTCTTTCCTGGTAATTCCTCACTCTGTGCTCAAAAGTTCAGAAAATATATAATTTATATTTTGGCTTTGCCATTTTCTGCATAATGAATATGGTGTTATTAAATAAAATTGATAGTGGAGCCTCCGCTGCGGGGAGTACACAACATAATCAGTGGAGCTGCTGAACCTTTGCTGAAACAGCCTGTTTTCCAAAGAACTTTAGAGATGGAGGAAATACAATCAGACTGTAGATTCAGTTAAATTGGTAGAAATGATGAAGGCAAAATGTTAAAATCATTCTTTACCAAGCCAACAATCAACCCCTGAGCTGTAGCCTCTGTCTGGCTCTTGTGTCTGTGGTGTGCGCACGCCCGTGGCTTTGTCCAGCTTTGTTGGCATGTTAGTCTTACACATGTCTGTGACATGCCGGTCAACTGCCACAAGCTTATGATCATGTGATTTATGCGCCCATCCTGCCACAAGGCTTTAAATAATGTGGTATGTGGATGATTGTACTCCTGGTTGTACAGGTGAGAGGCCTTTCCGCTGCAGTCAGTGTAACATGAGCTTCATTCAGAAGTACCTGCTCCAGCGGCATGAGAAGATCCACAGCGGTGAGTACCAGCAGCAGGCCGACTCTGGATTTGGTATGAAATTCCTGTCAAGATGATCAGTCATTTTATATTCTGCACTTCTGTCATTTGCAGGGGAAAAGCCTTTCAGCTGCGACCAGTGTAACATGCGCTTTATCCAGAAGTACCATATGGAGCGGCACAAGAGGACACACAGTGGCGAGAAGCCTTATCGCTGCGATACCTGCCAACAAGTAGGTTTTGGAGGTTTTTTCTCAATGTTTTTTTTAAAATAATGTTATATTTTTTTGTAGAGATTGGAAATCTATTGAATGGTCTGTTTACAATATTATATGATATTTGGGTTATTGTTAAGCGTTGCACATTTTCCCTCTCCAGCCTCTTAAGTCAGGATAAATGTTTAAGTGAGAACAACCACTGCATATTTTGATGTATAAAAAAAATAATAAGGCCAGGTTTTAAAATACGCAGCTTCTCTAATCTATTTAAAAATTTTTTTTTTTTTTTTTTTTTTTTTTAACTAGTTTTTCTCGAGAACAGACCGGTTACTGAAGCACAAACGGACATGTGGAGAAGCCATAAAGAAGGGTTTAGACCCCAACATGCTTGAGCTCAGTGAAGCAGAGCTAGGCCAGGGCAGCTATTCACTCACTCAGGGAAACTCTACCACCTCTGGACGCAAGAGGGGGAAGTCCAAAAACGGTGACGGTAGTGAACGCAAGAGGAAGAAGAACGCCTCGGCAGCATCGGCCTCATCTTCTGGGGGTATGGCCCGTGACCTGGGCCTGCAGGACTTTAACATGGAGCACCCCTCTGGCTCGGACCCCACCATGCAGGGGCGTACTCCGAAGCTGGTCTTTAAAAAAACAGGTCGCAAAGGGCTGGACAAGGGCCTCCTCTCCCTGGAAGACAGTTCTGACGGAACAAAACTTTTAGGCCAGAAGCCCGGCCCCATGGATCACGTGGAGGGCTCCGGCCTCGATAACATGGGTCTTCTCCAGGGACCTGGGGGCAATAAGTCTGGGCCCACCACCACCAGCAACTATGACGACGCAATGCAGTTTGTCAAAAAGCGGCGCTACCTCCACGCAGTTAACAATGACTATGGAGCCAGCTCCCTTCACATGGCGCCCCAGGGCAGCAGTGTTATCCAGGGCTCCCTGGGGCCGGAGCCCACCCTGGCCATGCTGGACTCCTCACCACTGGAACTCAAGCACGACAAGTCAGGCATTCCAGATGAGGTCCTGCAAAGCCTGCTTGATCATTATAGCCATAAGCCAGAGGGAACACACCACCATGATGTGACTTTTGACCTGTCTGACCACCCGCACCACGTAGACCTCCAACCAGCAGCCCCCGTCACCCCAGAATTGGAGGACGACTCCCCCAACGGCGGTGACAAAACGGCAGTGATGAGCGAGTACTCCAAGTTCCTGTTGCAGGCCCTGGAGCGCACCAGCCACAGCGGGGCTTTCCCCGGCCTTGGCCCCACAGGGCCCTTCACACTCCTGTCCAGCAGCTCCAGTCCCACAGGCCCCCTGTTCTCCGACAAACACGTGTACGCCACATCTCCGCTGGATTGTGGCTTCCCACCTACTGTCTCCTCTCCGCTGCCCCTGGCACCTTCATCGGCCTCCTCCTCATCCTCCTCCAAGTCCCACTATGGGATGCTTGTTGGATCTCCCTCCCAGACAGGCTACCACCTCAGCTTGGAATCTACTAGTCACCAGCAGCTGACTCCCTCTCAGGAGCTGTCCGAACAGTTGGAGAAGCAGCACTCCCCCGGCACCTTCAGCTTGCCCCCCCAGGAGCTTACTGCCGCAGCAGAGGGCTCCAAGGGGCAGCAGCCTAAAGCTGGGGGCAGCAGCGCCCCCACCAACGGCTCCAGCTACCCAGACCTGTCCCCACTGAACCCACCAAAAGAGCCCACCTACCAGATCGAGAACTTCGCCCAGGCGTTCGGCTCCCAGTTCAAGTCTGGACGGCGGACCCCTCTGAGCTACGGCAGCGATCCTGGGGCAGAGATGGACCACAGAATACGGACTCCGGTGTCAGAATTCTCAGGGTATACGAGTTTGTTGGCTGACGTCAGCGAGCCAGTGAGTACAGGATCAAAAACCCCGACAAGCCAAAGTTTCAGATAAGGGTCAAACGAGGTGAAGCCAGTAGGGGTCTGTAGTTACAGTCCACACGGTCCCTACGCCCGCTCCAAGTTTAGTTTCTGTAGCAAAGTTTTGTTTTATGAACACTGCCATTAAATGTTAATACAAAAATGACCAGGGAGGGTCTTCTATGGCCTCAAATGCAATTTTTTAATTAAGAATATTCTCGTTTTTATTATGTAGTCGCCAATGTTTTGTTTAAGATTAGTGATTTTTGATATGACCGTACCGTAGATTTAAATGTAATTTAAAACATTTAGAGGGTAGCGATGAACTTGCTCGTTTTTTTATTTTCCTCCTTTTTCTGTACCATTGTGTTTTACCAATCATCATACCATTGTAAAGTAATAATGAATAATGTTGATGATTTCAATAATGTTAACATTGTGGCAGGGAATGGCCCAGAATTCAAATGGCAAAAAAGTATATATTGTCTGTTACAAGAAACGTATTAACTCAGGAAAATAGGCAAAATTGTGTAATAAGACTTTGTATTGTGAGATGCAATTAGCACAGTTTTTACAGGTGTACTGCAAGACTACAAAGCGTAGATTTCCTTTTCTTTTTCTTTTTCTTTTTTTTTAACCTGCAAGAACAAATTCACAATTCACGAGAACGTTTGGTTTCTTTGTCGAGATTACGGTACCGTTGACATCCAGGACTTTTCTGAGAGCCACGTCCACGCGAGTTGGTCAGAAGCGCAGCGGCTTCCTGCCCGCTCCGCTCACACCCAGTGTTTCCAAATGGACACGTTTCGATATGACTGACTGCTGTAGTGTCAACTGACGAAGCCTGGACAGCCGCACACTCCTCCGTATGCACGTCTGCGTAGCCTCTCAGCCCCCGCGCCGCTGCTGGGCCTCAGCATTCTGGGGCTGTTTTTAAAATCAAGTCACCACTTTTCTTTTGTTTTTTTTTACTCTACTTCTTGCTGTTCCCGTTTGTGTCAATGAAATCAAACAAGCACTTTTTGAAAACAAATCATTGGAAACAACAATAACCCAGTCAATTTGCATATGTGATACGTGATTTTAATGCTAATGATTATTATTTTTAAGAGGAGAAAACTGTGAATGGGAGCTGTGTGGGTGGGGTGGGTGGGTGGGGTCATTCAGTGGGTTTTGATATGGGTCAAATAGGCATGAAAATGGGCATTTAAGGGTATCTTTATTTTTTATTTTTTTCTCTTAAAGGTAGAAAATGGGGAGGGGGGGTATTTTTTTTTTGTTTTCTACGGTTTTTCGGGTGATGTTGCAAAATAATTTGCCATAATTTTGTTACACAATATTTTTAGAGTACCTCTTTGTATTTAAGTGTTTTGAGAAATGGGCTGACATGCTGGAACCCTTACATGGAGTATGTTGGACACATACCCAAACTTTTATTTATTTTCCAATAGCTTCACCAGAACTCAGTGACAGATGTTTCAAGACAAAAAAAAAAAAAAAAAGGACAAAAAATCTGGGACCTAAACTCAGTCCCTCCAACTCGTAATGATTCCCTTGATCTCCCCCCTGGTTTTAATATCTTAGTAACTCCGATCAGAAACAAAGTTAAGTTCCACCCTCCTCCCTTCAACAAAATGCAGCCCTGCACTCACAAGAATAAACAATGGCCTTCTTTGTCTTCCGTGGCTAAAGCCATTCTGTCCCGGCAGCCAGGGTTGATATTTAATTTAGTTGATTTCCTGTGAGCCATGCCCCCCCCCCCCCTTCCCTTTTCCTACGAGCTCCACAGCCAAGAGACTTTGAAGCTGCTCAGATCACATGGAACAAAGACTGACTGACCAGCCGCTCCACTCCAGACACACTCTGCTTTTAAAAGAGACAAAAAAGTGGATGAGATGGAAGACAAACAAAAAAAAAAGACAAAAAGATTGACCTAAATATACCTCATATCATTAAAGCGTAAGAAAGCAGGGACATGCGTTTCATGTACGTAGTGAAAATATTTGTAGTATAGGTTCGACATATTGTATAATCTTTTAACACTGCCTGTGTTTACAATTATAGAGCAAATGACTCTGCAAAATGAAAATGTATTATTTTCCTCTGTAAAAACATCCGCACCAAGCAGTGTTGCATTATAGATGCCTCATAGAACATTCATTCTTCTCATGTTATATCCCTTATTTTTGTTACTTGCCATAATGTGTTTTGATATGATCTCTAGAAGGATAATGTTTACAAAAATGTACAAAAACACTAAAAATCTGTGTTTTTTTTTCTTTTTTTTTTCTCCAGTATGCATGAAAATGACATTTTTGTACGGCTTATTTTTTTCTGTCACCTCAATACCAAATTTTGTAGCAGAACCTCCCCCCCCCTTCCCTAATTCCTCTGTCTTATTCGTTCTAGATCCCTTGTGATATGATTTCCCAGGCTGTACCTGTTATTGAGATGAACGGATTAGAGAAGCCAATAAAACTTTTTGTTACAAAAGGTTCTTGTGTTGTTTTTTTTTCCTCTCTAAAATGAAAAGCAAAATAATTTTGTTCTTGCTGAAGGTTTCTATCGAGCTCAGGTTGTCTGACATGCACATGTCTTTGTAACTGTCCAAAGGTAGTTTTTTCAGATTTGTTAGTTTTATGGCAGATATGTAAGCAGGCCGATTGTCTTATTCCTTTAAACTGCATCTTTAACAGCCTGAAACTAATAACAAGTCACCTCTCTGTATTATTGTTATATACTACTGAGGGCAGTCCTGTAGCTTTTCTTGTCCTCACACACAGAGCCTAAGGAGGAGAAAGTTTAAATGTTGTCTACCCTGTATTGTCCCAGAGGAAATGAGATCCCTGATGAGTGAAATGATTGGCTCAGAGAAGTGACACAGTCTGGAATGCAATGTTATTGTTGGTGTGCCTGGATGAACTAAATCACCTCTCAAAGTCATCAAACTACTGTGTGTACAGTTTAGAACACGGGTCATGAGCCGTTTTAAGTCATGTTAAAAAAGAAACATAAAAATGTTTGTGAAAGTGTTACTGTATTTTGGTATGATTTTCTTTTGTTTTGAGGGGGGGTGACACTGTGGCGTTTAATGACTGCTATCTTTGGCTTTATTATTTCTTTGTCTGTTCACTTGCTTACAGTTTATCAACTGGCTTATGATTATTTAATCTATTTTATTATTGGTTTGGCTTTATCTTTTATTGAAACAGTACAGTTTGGGCGTGAGGAAACAATCGTCTCATTTGATCCATTTGGTGAGTTTTACAGCATTAAAAACAGACATTCTTCACCTTAGCTGATGTATGAAGCTTTATTACCAGATGATGGAGCTGTTTTCTTCCAAATTCTACCAAGTCTGAGGAATCCCTTAACAACATTCTGTAAACTGAAATGCGGAAACAGCAATAATTATTACGGAATGACTGATGATTTATAGAGAGGGGTGACATCTGTGGTTTGATGTTAGGCTGACAATGTTGGAAGTTATATTAGCAATATTCTGTTGTTCTCAATGGCAGACAGGTTACACCAAGAGGCTTTGGGTCAGTTTTTATGGTAACTGACTTTACAACATTCTGCATAGACCACAGCATAAATTGCCATTTCCCTGTGTGAACGCAGTGCCAATCGCATCAAAGTATTCTGATTCTAGACACTGGAGATTTCACAGCCTTTAGAAAAAAAGCTACATTGATGTTTGATGTATTCTGATAGGGTTGATTACAAGGTGTCGTATTTTCAAAAACCTTTCAACCAGTCATCCATTAATTTTTTCATTCATTCAACAGCCTTAACTTGCTCCCATTACAAGTTATGTATCATTTTGGGGGATCGATTCATTTAGAGGTCTTTATCACAATCATTAAAATACCATTAAGAGAGGCATGTTTTGAATCAGAGGTTTTCATCTCTCAAAGATTAGACAAACACTCAAAGTTTCTCCCTGTCAAGGTCCCTTTTATCCGTTGAAACCTTTTGGTGCTACGAGAAAGAATGCTCCAGCACTTAACCTTTCATCCCATCATTTACAGTCCGTTTAGGATCAAAGGTCTGTAGGAGAGAGAGCAGCATTTTCCACCTTGACGCTCCTTATCAGTCCCCCTCCCTCCTCCTCATAAAATTTATGTTCTCACTCTAATTACAGTCGTCATGAGAGCGCCTCACTGCCAGGAACAGTTTGCTGGGGTCAAAGATGGGCGTGACTGGAAGTGACTTTGGACTTAGATTGTCGTGAGTGGCAGTTATTGCTACCTGTGTTGACACTTAACACAAAAAACATCTTCATAAAACCTACCACCCCCCCCAAACTGTAAGCTATTTTATTAGATATTTTCCAACACAGGAAATCAACACCATTCTTTGCTCTTTTTAAAAAAAAAAAAAGTCCTTTATTCTCTTCACAATTTCATATCTCGGTTGTGAAAGTACTCTCTTAGTAGAAAAAGAAGTGGGTGAACATCCCGTTTACATGCCAGGAGCCTCAAGCACACTAGTATTCAAATATCAAAAATACTTTATGATCTAACTTTAGGAATTAGCATCTGTGTTTGCTACTTCTGAGGCCAGTCACTGCGTTGTCTTCTTCTGTTGGCCCCAGGGCGGATCAGTTCTTCCACACGGAACCTCGTCTCCCTGAGGACTCGATTGCGTTAAACATGTCCGCCTCTGTCCCAGCAGCAGTTCTGCACCAAACACATGCAGAGCGCTTTGTCACACGAACATCAGCATATATGCACGTTCTTCACATTCACTTTAAACAATAATGAAATCCATTTCATTTAAGAGAATGGTGACTTTGCAATGAAATTAATAAAACTTAGGTTGTCTTTTGATTTCTGGACGTCTTCTTTTTTCCACTGACGATCAGGTTGATGTCGATGTGGCTACAGAGTCACATTGTGTGCAAATTCAGATATGCTACTTAGATCGAGGTCAATGTTGAGAAGTCCTTTTATGACAAGAGAGATAACAGTTCTTTTAGAATGAAAAGATTTTAATGTTGGCACCTCTGACATACAATTTAAGACACGAGTTATTGATTTATCTTGAATTCTTGCCATCTTTTTAAATAATTTGTTAAAGCTGTTTAGCTTTATATGACGACATTGTGTTATCTTGTATTATACAATGTATTAAAAGTAAAGGTTGCCCCACCCTGTTCCACTGGTCTTCTTATTTATGATAAGACTGGAAAATGGGTCGAGGCATTCTGGAGGAAACATTTCCGAATGACCTGGTGTGAACACGTTTAACCTGAAGTGGCCGTGTGGACACAGTCATGCTGGAGGAATCCTGTTTGAAAAAGTTCTCACTTAAAAATGAAGACATGGAGAACTGCCATATATTCATTAAACAGGTGGCCAGGAATGTAATCTGTAACTTATAAAGTCTGAGGATATTATGAGTACAATGAAATCTTGTGAAAACTCAAATCCCCTTGTTTCCATTAAAGTGAAATAGTTTCCCAATAACATCACATTGTCATTTGATTTTGGGTATTCTACAGATCTGCTGTATTCTGCTGGACGACACGATGAGTAACTCAGGTAAAACTGCTTCCATTTTCAACAAACTACAAGTTTGGCCTAGCACTAAGAAAACCACCTTATTTAGAGCTGAGATTGGTTCCTGTTTTTCATTCCATTATCTCCTCTATTTTTCAGTTGATTTATTCAAAACTTTTTTTGTTTACCTTCGAGAGTGTCTCTCTTTGGCTATAAGCTGGTTTTTATTTATACTTTTAGATACTCTCCACCTATAATTTATAAAGATAGTCATGTGGTGATACTAATATGGTGTCACAGCCTTCTTTAACAATCTTTTTTCAGAACCTGAAATCAGTTCTGCCTTGTTCTGGACCAACCCATCTACTGACCTGTGTGTGACTCACCAGCTGGTTGTTAAGGTAAAAAAACACACAAAAAAAAACAGATGTATGTCACTCAAGATTGACGAGGAGATAAACGTCTTGAAATAGTCGTTCCCCACCTCTAAACCTTGATCACATATTAGTGCGGCCTACCACCCAAAGGGGAGTGGCTTATGATTAAAACTGCCAGCAGACAAAGATTTCCCTCACACCGTCCAATGTTTAAGGGCACTGAAGCCTTTTTTTCTTGCTGTTAGATTTGTCCATCTGCCTTTTTCAAAATGATCAAGGAATTTATTCTCCTTTTGATTCTTTTTGCCGCTGTTGGTATGTATCTTTTGCTTTTTAATATATTGACTCAAAATGAGATTTTTGTACTTGCAACAAAGGCAACTTTCTAGTATTGTGATTTCCACACCTGACTAAAATGTATTATTTGGCCAGACTCTTCTTCCTCTACTTATTTTCACTTTACTAACATTTAAAACCCAGATATACGACTGCTTTGACTGCATTACTGCTTGAGCTTTCGCCTGGCGGTCTAATTTCTGGGTTGATTTAACTCGCCGTTGCTATGCTTCAGTTCAGGAAGTTTGTTTACTCCCACTAAATTCCCTGCCCTAAAACATCACTTATTAGATACAGGATGTCGATTGAACTTTGGTGTGGTGTAGCTCCTGATTATTTTTTAATCATATTTATGCAGCAAAAAAATCTTAATTGAATTTTCTTATAATCAAACAAAAATCATTTGAGATTTGGTGCCGTTTTTTTCTTTGTTTTTTATAAATAAGTCCCTTTGATATGTTACACTGACCATAAAGGAAGCTGTTAAACCTTTTTTCTTGTTTTTATTGTGAATCATTTTATGTGTTATTGATAGGAAATATACCCACACTCCTAAATCATACAGCTGTATCAGAAAGCTTTCAATAATCTGACATATCTCTTCTTTTTTTGCTGAGCTGTGAAAGGTGAATGCGTTTTCCTGATGTTATTCAGGTCATCACAAATTTCAGTGAACTTTGTTTTTCTTTCACACTTTTCTTTCTTTCTTTCTTTCTTTCTTTCTTTCTTTCTTTCTTTCTTT